AATTTTTTCCCACAGTTTACCTATCAACTTTTAGAAAAAGGTTCATTTTTCCGTAGTTTACATACAGCCATGAGTTATACCGTTTACAGATACGAAAACAATAATATTGGTTACAGAACAAAATAATTTAGTATTATTTTACAGTAATCTAGTTAACCGTTTGATAATATTTTTACGTTTCGTAGTGCTGTTATACATCGCACTTTATACAGCTGTAAATATGTAATAATGTCAAATTAGACATTAGACCGGTGTAAAAAGTGATGTAAACCATCTGAAAAAATGCAATTTGATATTTTTTTCCATTTGTTAGAAACTACAATAAAGTTTATTGTTTATTTTTGAACATGTATTAAAATTGGTTTAGGTACCTACCAAAATTCGATACAATTACATTATACCTAATGACATGTAACATGAAAGTTGTTACTAACAAAGTAATTAAGACCTTAACACTTGAATTTTTTAATTTTATTACTGTTATTGAATTAAAGAACCCCCACATATATGTACAAGGTACAACGCCAAACATTTCACGAAATTAGCGTCAAAATAGTTTCTTTACTTAAATATTCAAAAATAAAAATAAGTAAGCTGACACACTGGCTGTACAGATTACGGAAATCTATGTACATATRTCGTCTTTCTATTTTATATCATGTGTAATAGTACTACCTATAAATATTATTTTTACATTTTATCTGCATTGTTTATAGAAATTATAAAATCTATTATACATAATACTTAAATTACAATTACTAATTAATAATTATAAATATATAATTATTAATTACCTATAAAACAATGTATCTATTACATGTATATTGAATAAAATACATTAAAAACAATAGGCAAAATTATATGATTTTTATTGTTGTATGATAACTTACTGTTTTATAATAATACAATACAGTAAAACCTCCCAATAAAGGAATCGCTCAGGATCAACTGATTTTTTTCATTTCAGAGTCACTAAAATTTACGGGATAATATACAGTCTCAAAGTAGAATACACTAGTTCTACGTAATTTTTCCCCTTCTACCACTACCTATGCCGTTATGTGGGATATTCGCGCAGCCGCTGAACAAAAATAGGTTGCCGCTCTGTGTATTGTACTTTTAGGCAAGGTTTAGTCTATTTTTGGGGTTTTTAGGAATGTTGGTATTTTCCGTAAGGAGAATTTCACAGATGGTCTGTTATAACTTATAACTAGGGCTCAGATTTAAATGCACATAAAACCATACAAATATGCTCTAAAAAATAGCCAAAGATAACYTTAAAAACCGGACACGAGAGAAGAAGAAGAAACCTTAAAAATGCCATTTATATTCATTTTTTATACAATTTGTTATTTTATTCTGGAATTTATTATTAAAATATATTTATTACTTAATTGAAAAAAAAAATTGGAAAAATTGACTTGATGCTGCTATAATKCAAAATATTAAAGTTTAGCATATTTTATTAGTGTAAGTATAGTAAGTAATACGTTTGTAATGTTTGTAATTTTGTAAATCAAAATGAATTGAGGGTTTATTGGTTATTATTTTGTTACTCATTATATATTGTATATATGTACTATAAATTATAACACAATCAAGTATACAACTATACAGTGTATAATACTGTATATAAATAATTATCTGTTTGCTCAATACAAYATAGATACCTCCTAATTAATATTAAATTTAAATGTGATTAGATTTTTTTGAACAAACTGATTTTTTAACATATCAAAAAATATTGAAAGTGACCTATTGTCTATTTAGGTTCTAGGTAGAATTAAAAATGTATTTACTTATTTATTTTTAACCAAGTTAGATTTTTCTTATAATAAAATTATAAACTTTTATTATTAAATACCTATATTGTTTGTTAACTAATAACTTCTCTTAACTGAACTAATTTTTTCATCAATTTGCCAACATTTAACTATGACCAAGTCTTGGAATCTTCAATAATGTTTTTGTCTACAAAAGTTTTTACTCTTAAAAGATTTATATAAATATTGGWTTAAAATTTAAATATATTCTATTGAAAACATAATGTAATTGTATCTAATAACAAGATTCTTTTTAAATTAACACTTATAGTTTAAGTTAAAATTATAAGTATAGTTAATAWATTTTTTAWTATTATACCTGCTTTTATTATCCCATTATATACTTAAAATAATTAATATAAAGTAAGAATGCAATTATTTCTATGATTTCTTTTTCAAATTAAATTTATAAATTATAAATGGTTCACATATATACATTATGTTAAATAAAAAAACTTTTTAAATTTGGCAATTAATTCAAAAGAATAATAAAAAAAAAAAATTAAAGTAATACAAATCTTCTCTGTCTGTGAAGTCAATAACTATTATATTGTGTTTAATTTATGATTAAGGTCAGGCCCGTCGTAAGACATTTTCCGCCCTAAAGCGAATAAAAATAATAATTAAATTTCTGTCTTTTTTTGGAAATTTAATATTACAATTTGCCGCCACAATTTTTTTAAATGTTATACCGCCCTAAAGCAACGCATGGCTTGCTTGTACCCTAGTGACGGACCTGATTAAGGTAGATGTTATTTGAAATATTAAATAAAAATATTACCTACATAAGTATACAGTTTATAATTTGAATTAGAAAAATTATTTAAAATTATTTTTTTCTATTGAACTTTAAATTACATCAACAACAATGGTTTATTAGTTACCTATTAGGTTATTGTACATTATTAATAGGTATATAACCTATATTATTAACAGTACTTTTATTATACTAAAAAAAAAAGAAAAATAATAAATTTATCAAGTGTGRGAAGTAGGTAGTGTTATAAAACAACTGTGTTATTATTTTAAATATTGTCATATAAGTCTGCTTTTCTAAGGAAAGGCAAMAWTTTTGAGATGTTTTCGATATTTGATTCCAGCGCTTCATCCATGGTAGAAGGAATGTTATGTTTTCAGAGTTCATTGATGTATCAATGGTATTCTGTTAGAATATGTTTTACTGTAAGTTCAACTCCACAGGATGAGCACTGGGGGGAGGGGGCTGGAATCTTTTATGGTCATAAGAAATTTATGAGTTAACTTCGTAAGACTGTTAATTACAATGTTTTCTCTTCTTCTGAGATTAGGGTATTACAGGTGATATTTATGTCTTTATACTTTAATTTTATGGTTTCTTCTTGAATACATTTAGCAATATCTGTTGGGTTAATTGTGTTGTCTAGGCTCTTGATTGTAGTCAGTGAGTATTACATTGTTTTTTAATGAATTCTATTGTTATGAGCATATGCCATATGCACAATTTAGGCGGAATCTAGGAGAGGTTTAGCCCCTTCCCTCAAATATTATTATTAGGTATTATTTCAGTTATTATCAATGTTGCTCAATCCATAAGCAAAATATACA